AAGCACATGGTATTTCCATGGGTATACTTGTCCACGTGCTTATCGTGCAAGGTGTACATTACAAATCGATAACTTAAGTACGCGCTTATGAGGTCTCCGTACAGGTGTATCGTTAGCGGAAATATGATTTTAATATGATGATAATAGGAATGAAATATGCAATGTCAAAAAGGTGATCCGTATCAAATTTTGAGTTGTATAGTTCTTTTATGCTATCTTTTTAAAAATTATATTATTATATTCTGACACTCTCAAAATCTGATGACGCGTTTGTATAAACATTATGAAGTGCATATTTGATGCCATATATTCATCGATCAATTAATTAAATGCATTTCGAACGATTGATTTTGTCTTTGTTTTCGATATTTGTCACAGAGAATACCCTTAAAAACTTTTTTGTGGATCCTGCATTTATACGGCATGTAAGTCTAACTACGCTCGTATTTGTTAAGCCAGGATGTCATGAACAAAATTAATAAAAAATTAACAATTATCGAAATTCAATTGAAATAAGAACCAGCAATCCTACATTTTATCACATAAAATGCCACTTTTTCCTTACGGAAAGACTAATACTCCCATTTCAAAGTGTGCAATGAAATAATTTTGTCGATAAAATGGTAAAACAGTGAACATATTTCCGAATCAAGACAAATTCACATGTCAAACAGCAATCCAAACGCTTTGATGTGTATAACGATTTATTTTAGCCATTACGCAGCTCCTAGTCCAACAGTTTTTTCACTCGTTTTATATCATCTTTGTCTGAGAGACCCCAATAGTGTCTTTCCGCATGTAAATTAAGGTTCGTTCAAGTGTAATGATTTTAAATTCTAAACTGCGATGGCTTAAACAGATAATATGCACATTTTTCTACCACTTGGCAATGGTCATGGAGTAATATAATTATATCATCAAGTGCTTAGAATAATCAAGTAGAATATTCAAGTATGAAAAAAAGATAAAAATGAATTATTGCTTTGTTTTCTACAATGCTAAAAAGTTTTTTTTATTTAGCTTATGTAATACTTTTTGTATCAATTGTTTTATTTTATTAATAGAAATCCTAATGTTCTTGCCAGAATCAGTAGGACAGCAGAATTCCGCTGAAATACGGATGGGTGGGGTGTGGATGAGAGACAGAGAAGGCCGAAGATAAATTTAGATTGAGATGTTTCATCATCGATAGTGACATAATCACATTAGCTTTTAGTATGTCCTTTTTAAAAAAGAAAAAAAACAATACTTGGTTATATATACATGTGTATGTATATTTTTAAAACTTTTAATTTTTGATCATGAAAACTATTTTGTCCACAGAAATGTAAATTTTTATGATGATTTACCGAATATAATACATGATGCTGATCAACAGCTGGATATAAAATGGACATCGATATATCTTAAATGTAATTCACCAATAAAATTCAGTTTGAATATGACTCATTGTAAATTTCATTAAAATATCTTTGCAAAATAAGACAGTAATATTGATATTGATAGTGTTATTTCTAACCATGATAAAGTTTTAGCGTTTGGAAATTTCGTATAGTTTAATCTATTAGCTAACGATCGACCCATTTCTCAAATAATTTTCATCATCTTCGTGAATTCACAACAAATGCAAGAGAGATGATCAAAATATTTGTAAAATTTGCCCAAGGTGTTTGATAAAATGTTTAAGAAGTCAATGGAATGACATGACGAACTTTTGCAGATGCATATTGAAGAAAGATTTCCCCTCAATGGATATATACTCTTTTACAAATGCGACTCGGTCATTAGGGGCTTCCTATATTGCACGTTGTATACTGTAAACATTTTTATATATTTAATACTATCAAATTATCCATATACTATTTGGGACCGGAATTATGCACAAACCGCCAAACAAATGTAAACAAGTCTGCCAAATTGATAACATTTCTCAATGCATGTCGGACAGGCTTTTTCCTTGGGCCTTTAAGTGTGACATTGACCTTTGACCTGAAAATCTTCTTCGCGATTCAACGTCTCATGGATCAAATGATATTCAAACCTCTTTATGCTTCGGACAAAAGAAAAGGCTCTCACCAGGACGATCGCATTACATATAAAGAAATTTAAGTGTCACTATATTCATTATAGCTAATGTTCCATTTTCGCATAAAATTGACAATTTTATTTACTGTAATAGAGGTATAAGGTTTTATGCTAATAAATTGTTATTCATATGTATCAAAAACTTTTTTCAAAACTTTTTTTATATAAATTCAATAGACTTAAAATCGATCCGTCGAAGTTTTGTATATGCCATATTTATATACTTATTTATTTTTTCAGCGTTGTGCTCATACGAAATTATGAACTTCACCTTGTCATTGAACTAATTTTCACCGACAAATATGACAAATTCAACGCCGGACTTTATTGTTCCTATATTGTTTTATGCTGTTTTCTTTTTGCATATCATTTATTCGTTTATTTTCCATATTCCATTTGTTTAGACTTGTTTCTTTTTTTATTTTAGGTATAACTTATTTATAATTTATAATGCTTATCAAATTAAAGAAGACTTAGTTTTTTCAAGAAACATTTTGATTATTTTATTTTGGCTGGTAAGAAAACATTCAACTTTTAAAAAATAGAAGTAAAAAGATATGTTCATACTCAACGGAACAATATGTTTGACAATACTGTCTTCTTGCGTTTTAACTTACTTTTTAGCAAACTTTTATCATACTTGTCAATATTTCCTGGAAATATAAAGCTTAATAAGTCAAGGAATCGATCTGTTTGTTTTGGACTTAACTTCGGGGAATGAATCATTTGGTCCACCAGCTGTTACCTCAAATGAGTGGGTAATTATTCTCTTCACTGATTAAATGTCAAAATCAAATATTCGGCGATACGAAAGCCTAGTATATTACTTTTATTGTTGCAGACGACAATTTGTACGGAAATCTGACAAATCCAACGCCGGGCTTTATTTCCTTTATTGTTCTTTATGACCCTGTGCGAACTGTTTAATATCCCTGGATCTGAACTGCCTAATTACAGATAATTTTGTACAGCAGATTCTCAATGCTTTAGGGACTTCTTATGAGAATGGAGATTTTACTATAACATACGTATTTTGGAGTTGATTTTTGCTGCTGTTGTTGTTCTTCATTATGCGGTTAAGTTGCAAGTACATATACATTCCCTTATGGCTGAAGGGTTGCCTTTAAGAGTTGAGGCATCAGAATTGCAACCACCGTTTGTCTCTACTTGGTTGTTAGAGGCGACTTATTGGGTTCGAATTACTGGAATCTAAGTATATCTTAGCTCTAGCAGGTCAGGTAGTTTTTTGTTGTTGCTTTAAGTTAGTTACACCCGAGGCTAGCCAAGACATTCTTTCCTGTTTTGGCGCCATATGACCTAAATTGTGGTGCTGCGCCGTAAAACCAAACAACGAACAAATTTACATTCGAATACCTCGATGTTGATAGTGCGTGTAATAAAAAATAATACCTTTTTTATAACATATATGTGTACATATGTTAGAATGAACCATATGGACACCGATATGTAATGTATGTAAATGTTGGCAGACATTTCTTTTCTATAAGAGTTTAAACTATGGCGGTTCACGGCCTAGCCGTTTTACTCTGAACTTCTTAAATATGTTTCACTGCAGAAACATTAGTTCTTTTAAATCAATCAAAATTCACTTTAATGAATTTTCTATTGAATAAATGACCATCAATAAATACATTTGATAAAAGGAAAAGGAGTAATAAGAAAATATTGACTTTTATTTATATACATACCATTTCTATGTATGCCTTCCATTTCTAAGTATATTGAAGAATGTGTCTTTTATCCCAGGCAATATGTTTATTGTAATAAGTTTACACGTATTTCTTTCTAGTCATTGAATTATTGTTATGATGAATGAAAAGAAAATCTTTTGTGCACCAACTGAGAGAAATGAATTATTTTTTTTTAATGCGACGTTTATTAACAACATAATATATTCTTAAACACATTGCAATACTAAAATAAAATAACGAATAAAGTTGAAGCCAATTATTGATTGAAAAAATCAAAGATTAATATTTTGGAGTGAAACGTTCATATGAGTGAAACGTCCAGGTGTGAACCGTTTTGATAGTGAAACGTTCAGGTGTGAGTGAAATGCCTTTGGGAATGACACGTCTATCGTGTTAATGCAATGTTCTGTCTTAGTATGAAATGTTTAACATTGATATGAAATGTTTTATAATGATATGTAATGCTTTGTCTTGGAATGTAATGTATTATTTGGTATGTAAATGATGTTTTGTATTGGTATGTAAATGTTTGTCTTGGTATGTATTTGTCTTGGTACGTAATGTTTTGTATCGATATGTGACTTTTTGTCTTGGTCTATATTGAATTAGTGTTGTTGCCTTTTGTACATGATTTGATTAAGAATGCATAATAAGATGTTATTATATACACCTATTCACAATGTATGTTTGTTCCTGATGAACCGTATCGTGTGAGAATGGTTATGTTCTCAGACAGTATCGTATAAATAGGTTACAGTACTGGTGATTTATTTGTGTTTTAGTTTATTATTGTGTGTATGCGTGTGCGTGCGTCCCTGCTCGTGTATGGTATTGTTTGTTAAATACTTTAATATAGTGGATATAACTAGACTATAATCTTACGAGGCACGTGTGGTCCGTCCTTGTGACACGTCCTAGTGACTCGTCCTAGTAAAATCCACGCAAACCAAAATAGAAGTGCATGTACTGTATTAAGGGACTCTTACCCCCACCCCCTCTCCCACCTTTTATTCATTTAAACTCGCCTTATGACATTACCTCATTCCGAATCACACAACACAGATTTTCTGTCAATTACAAACAGCGCTGTGCCGTAGATATAGAAATATGTAAAGGGAGATAATAAAATATGTTAGTTGACTGAATCGAGATCGAGGAACTATATACTGTTAATCAAATAAATAAAAAAATCCAAACCAATCGTAGGCCATCTCAGAACTAGTTTTATTCTACATTATCTCGACATGTACACATATATTCAACAAAAAGCATTTACTTACACGGTGCAGTGCTTTTCCTTTAATTAACAAACAACAAAATAAAAACTCTGTATAAATATCTAACTGTACAACAAAACGTTATAAATACGTCCAAAAATAACAACATTAAAAACAAATTTCTCAATAATTCATGGTAATAAATGTATGTAAAAAGTTAAGTACTGCGTCCTGTAAGGGTTTTCCAAAACCAACGAAAAAATCGTCTTAAAAGGTTAAGAAAATTTAGTTTAAGTAAAATACCGCAATGTAAACATGTTATAAATCCTAAAACCGGAAGTCATTGACTTTTAAACAGAAACATATAAATATTAACAACAACAGCATTTAGTAATGATAGGGAACTATATTGAATTATTTAAATGTTTTACACCACTGTTACCATGATGCTATATCTATATCTAGTGTCAATCAACTTAAATGACATTCTAAAATACCACGTGTTTCAAAACATATTATACGCGAAAACGTATCCTCAAAACACGGAATGACAATCCCAGAACCAAATTAGCTAATTTCTAAATCCAAGACCACAATACTACGTACAGGTATATCACGTTTCCTTTGGCTGATATATAGGGTAAATTTGGCGCAGTGTTTATTTTGGCAATGTTTTAGTTGTCTACGCCGTAATTAAACACTACGTTTGTATATCTAATACTGTTTTATAGTTTTCTATCGATTTCCCGAAATCAAAACGTCTAGTTTCTTATCAATATTTGATAGCTTCTGTTCAATATCTATAACTCGCGTTTGAAGATTTGTCTGTTCTTCTTGTAATTGCTCCACGATTTCAAAGACATCATTAACAGATTTTGAAACTTCTACTATTCCAACTGAGCTTTCACCAATGGATATTTTCTCATTTTTCGCTTCTCTCATTGTATAGATGCTTTGTAACAACTTTCCGTAAACACGCGTTCTGCGGCGTCCGTCAGATATACCTTGCCGTTTCATTCGCCAAAGACTTAACGCATATTTGATGACGTCAGAAGCAGCGTTTTTCCTAACCTTGTCCAACTGAACGCGCGACACGAAGTTATGAACGTATTTTTCGGGTCTTGTTTGTTCTAGTTTGGAAGCTAGAACTGCAACAAGGAGTGCCGTTGTACCCACGCCCATAAGGCCGGTTAGAACTGAGACAAAACGCCCACAGTACGTGCTTGGTGTGAAATCTCCGTATCCAATAGTGAGGAATGTTATAGCTATAAGCCACATAGAGTTTAAATAGCTGCTCTCAGGGGAGCCCGGATGGTAATATATTTCACAGGTTCTCAACGCCCAACTGCCTATTACTAGAATTGCGAGCATAAGCGAAATGAGCATAGTTCCCGGCATTGTAGACATAAGTGCCTTGAAAACAAAAACTGTATTAATCTTCACTTTATTTAAAGCACCAAGACTTTGTGTCGATGTGTCAGTTAATAAACGGTGGTGGACGACGGTAAATTTTCCGATTAAGTATAGTCGTGCGAGCATTAGTATAGAAAAGATGGCGTCCAAGGAAACCATTCGGTACCTACCATCCACTCCGTATGCGGGAACTCTTATATCGCCTGGAATTGGATGAATACTGCATAATAATAACTCCAGCACAATTTTCAAATATGACACTGGAAAATGCATAGCTAACCTCCAGTCCTCCCAACTGTTGTCAGCCATTTGAATCATAACACCTGTCGCGTGATACAATAAAATGGCTAGGAGAAGTACTACGGTTGACAAAGATATTAAAGATTTAAGTATAACCGACCCAGCGTCCGTTTTTGTGAAGACCCCGCGTATGAAGCATTCTGTTTCTACAAGCATAAGAGCAATTCCAAAGAAAGCCATGGTAAACTCGACGTTTACAATCATTCGCCTCCGATTGATTAGTTGTTTTCTTCTCCCTAATTTATACCCGATGTTGTCATAGCGACTTGTTATACCAAACGCGGAGGAATCGCTAGGAGGTTCAGCCGGTGGTGTTCCGTTTGCATTTTCTTCCTCGCTTCCAACGTACCTCCGAAATTTACCATTAGCTTTCCCTACCAGTGGTATTCCAGGATCTTCAATAACAGTGCTTCCGCTCATCTTACTCTGGAAGTAAAAAAGAAAAATATTTGTATTAATATTATTATTATTTATTATTATTATTATTATTATTATTATTTATTATTATTATTATTATTATTATTATTATTAATTTTTTTATTATTATTATTAAGTATTATTACTCGTATTAGTATTATTAGTATTATTATTAGTAGTATTAGTATTATTTGTTTGGCTTGGTACGTAGGGAAAGCATTACATCATGTATTAGAAAAACAAGTGGCTATGCTGCTGGAATGAAGATAAATGGAGCTTATTTATCTACATTTTAAGGCACATGAAGCGTAAAAAGCGAAAACATTTTACCCTTTTAAGAAAGAACAAACATATATTGTAACATTGAATCCAGAGTATATTAGATGCGTATTACCTTAAAAAATATATCGCCGAATGTAAACATTTTTTTCTTAAAGGTTGCGAAATGTAAACAAATGGTATTTTGACTTCTTAACAAAAATGAATTGCTATGACTATCTTTAATAAAAAGCACAAGACACAAACGATAGATCAGGTATATGGACAATGTGTAGCTGTTTTTAAACTTTTGAAAAAAAGATAGATAAAATGTTGGGGCTAAATGAGCCTTTAATATTCATTTGCTTAGCTCTACACGTTATAAAACTTGAAATACACATATCAACTGGAAAATCTTGCAATTTAAAAAATATTCTATCATTAAATGCGAGCTAAATGAACACTCGAATAGAAATGGCTGTTTTTCAGTAGATTCTTCTAAAATAATGTGATATATATGTCTTAAAATCGAAACACTTTCAACAGTAGATCGTTAGTACCCATTCATCAAAGAAAGATATTAAGATTTCTTAAAAAGATAATTATTTAATGTTCTTTCGATTTCAACTATGACGTAGCCACTGAGAATATTCCGTACTGCAGTTAAGCCTTTCGGGATACACGGGGGTGAAATTGTAAATCGTGCTATAAACTCAAGTACATATGGATTAAACGCGAGTTTCGTGTTTCTACTGGATATGTTACATAAATTTTGTTAAAATATCTAATTTTAAGATTAACGAAACTGGTCTCTTAAAATCCTTAAAAAACATAACCTTTCTAAAATATTTTAGAGAAAATATATCCCGGGAGAAATACATTATGATTATTCTAAATGTTAGCTAAAGGCTTATTTTATTCCATACAAAGACATTTTGAAAATCATGTCTTTACTGATGTGCTTTGGTTTCATAAGAAAATCCGTTTCAAAACTGGATGAGAGCAAATTTACAGCTTGAGGGTTAAATATACATTAGTGCCGCAAATTCGTCAGACATGTCTGTTTAGAATGTTCTTATTTACGTGTTTCCTACCCGACAACTCAAAATGAACACTTTTTTAGACTGCTTCGACTGCCAAAGCAGTTCATTTTATAATGAAATGCGTCATAGAAATTAGTCTTTACAAAATACAACATTATGTGAGCTAAAAAAAGAATCAAAATTTTACATAAAAAACCTATCTGTTGTCAAATTAATGAATTCAAAATAAATCGCGGTTTTTTTTAAAAATGATGTAAACACAAAAATGATGTAAACAGACTGTAAAATATTTGTGCTTTTAAACGTTAGAATTAGACTTATTAAAGCTATCTCAGTGAATGATATTTTTTGCATAACAACAATATTACAAGTCTTTTCTGTCTGATGTATTTTATATAATACAAGACTAAATTCCCAATAGTCCAGACATCTGTTTTTTGACAGAAATGATTTCTGATCATTTGCAACGACCTGAATGTAACGATTCAAAATATATAAAAACTAATTTGTTTCATGCTTATTTTTTTTTACAAACGGTCAATTTAAGCATAGTCATAAATGGAGATAATCTGGAAGAAAAATAAAAAATAAACACAATCTTTGTACCAAAATAACACATTAAAGGGGTATGAAGAAGAAACTTGAAGTCAAAACTTTAAAACATGTTATGATATTGATTTTGTTCGGTTCTAACATGCATGGTCGAATCCGATGTGTACGACTCTCCGGGATATGGCTCGTATATTTATTTCCGTAGGCATTTAAACGTAATGAATTACGTCATTTTATACATCATACTAGTAGTTTTAAAAGATTTTTGACAGACTATATGGCCCCAAATAACGGATTGTTTGTATATAAAACCCGAGCCGCTAAGCGAAGTTTATGTTGCAAACAACAATTCTTATAACTAATTAATAATACAGAAAACTTCCATTTTTAGAGAGAAAAAAGTTTATTTTAAAATTGACCACAGCTATGTGTATAAATTATATAAAAGTCATGGTTATTCAATGGAAAGCAACGTTACAAACGTGCAGCATTATAATGCTGCATCTATTGCTATACACGATACGTAGGCTATAAAAACAAGCTAGTTTTGTTTAAGAATAAACTTTCATTGAAAAAGATAATTTACTTTCTAATAGTTCATGATTTAAATTCTGCTACAGCTTGGTATTAATTTCTAATAAAAACTGTTAGGTATACAAATAGTAAAGTTCAATACTATTCGATTGTATTGCAGCCTTTTTTTTGTCTTGAGGAAAAACTGTCAGACGTTAAGACAAGTATAAAGATAGTATGTCTTATATTCACATTTGTTAAGTCGGCTTCCTCTTGTAAGCTCCGTGTATAATACTGGTAATCGCAGAGATTGTGTTTGTCCAGCTTAATGATTTTCTAGTCTACAACATTTATCAAGTTAAGTAAGGATCCGCCACCAACGTATCTAACCTTAATGATTTAATACGTCGACAGGAATTCTGTAACACTCCTCAAACTGGGAAGACAAAATACTAAATCTATCTGTTACCTATAATTAAATGTACGCGAGAAAATCGAGGCAGAAATTATCCAAGAATAGAAGACAAAAATTTGCATCTTTCGGCGTTTCATTATCAATTCTTTCGTGACATATGGAGGGCTTTAAATTCCAAATGGATTTCTCAGTAAATTTCTCTGTGAAAAGGGTAAAAATTGAACTTTGATTTCATCCTGCTTATTAACAGGGAAGCGTTTTTTTAAATGTTATATGTGACGCCTTATTCAATATAAAAGCCAAATCGTTTTAAGAAGAAAAAAGAACGAATAAAATGATCGAATTAGTTTGGAGAAAACACATCCCGAAAGCACAAAACCGAAAATAATGCTCATTAAGTTGTTTGGTTGCTGAGGTGTTAAATTCTAAAGAAAAGCTAATTAAGTGTCATAGCCTTTTGTACTTGTTATTTAAATGCTGCTCGTAGATATCAAAAAATATCAAACTTACAGAATCAGAAACCATTGCCCCTTTATTCAAGAACAAAAAGAATACTGCATAACATAAAGTTTTCCTGTGATTAACATAGAATGTAACTTATAGGCGTATGTATGGTTTATATATTACAGACTGAAAATATAACGTTGCATGATCTTAAAATATGATAACAAAAAAGTTTTAAGCGACAATACAGGGGAATATCAACCTAGTTTTCGAGTGTGACTTTGAAAATAGTGCTTATTTCAAAGTCAGATATTCACAATCAAGGTTGGCCTTATTTGTTCAGCTATTTATGTAGCAAACTTCCCTTTGAGAATTGGTACGTAATTTGTTTGTTTTTCGTCTAAACTCAAAGCTATGCCACATTTCTTACAAAACGACATACATGTTAATTTGAATAATTTTTAGTCTCTTAATCTGAACGAAGAGACCAAAAATCGTGGATGTTCAGCCGAAACGTTGGTATATTAAAGGGAACTTTAAGAATTTGCAGTTGACTACTTATTTTTTTACTATTTAGCATGAAATTCCATGAAATTTTAGGTTATGAACTAGGATAATAAAAAAGAAACAACATAAACTTATAGTGAAAATAAGATTTAGTTTTAAATTAAATGATTTGCCTGCGAAATGATTTGAAATAACAATAAGAAATCAGGTTTAAGGGCTGATAACTAGAGAATGAGGCGGTCAGTGACCCCGAATATTTTTTTCCAGTCTAAATGTTTTAGTAATTAAAGATACCTAGATTTTAAAAACGTTTAAAAATTACGAAAACTTGTGAATGCGCGCCAGTAATCATAACTGGATTAACATAAAGTAGCTTTAACCTTACTTTTCCAAAATGATTAGCAAAACATATGCCAGAAGTTGCTATGTAAATTAGTTTGACATATATAGTAGAATATTGTATAATACTAAATAGTACACTGTTAGATTAAAGATTGCATTAAAATTCTTATGTTCTGTTTTTTTGTGCTGTACAATTTATTTTAGCGCCTGCTATTTCTTCGTTAGATATTGTTCCTTGAAATACAGTTTATGGAGCTTCTTGAAAATAAATTTTGCCTATGGCCACATCTTTTAAAGCTTGAACAGCTCGGATTATAATCAGATCTAAATTTGCATTATTGCTACTACAAAAAAAGGAAATATCTCTTCATTTGGCAATAATCTTCAATATGATTTTAGATATTAAACTTCCATGTAAGAGTAAATTAAAGTAATAATGATAGGAGTAATGATAGGAATAAGGAGAGTTAATTATAGGAATAATGATAGAAATAAAGATAGGAGTAATGAGAGGAGTAATGATAGGAATAATGATAGAATAATGTAGGAAAATAATAGGAATAATGATAGGAATAATGATAGGAGTAATGATAGAAGTAATGATAGGAGTAATGATAGGAATAATGATAGAATAATGTAGGAAAAATAATAGGAATAATGATAGTAATTATAATAGGAATAATGAAATAATAATGATAGGAATAATGATAGAATAATAATAGGAATAATGATAGAATAATGATAGGAATATTGACAGTATAATGATAGAAATAATGATAGAATAATAATAGGAATAATGATAGAATAATAATAGGAATAATGACAGTATAATGATAGGAATAATGATAGAATAATAATAGGAGTATTGATACAATAATAACAGGAGTAATGATAGGAATTATGATACGAATAATGATAGAAATAATGCAAAGAATAATGATAGAAATAATGAGGGTAAATTATAGAAATTATAGGAAAAACGATAGAATAATGATAGGAATAATGATTAAAATAATAATAAAGGAGTAATCCTAGGTATAATTCAACAAAATAAAGCAATATAAGCTTGCAAGGTCATGTCGAATGTCTGTTTAGCAAAGCTAAGTTTTAACTTTATCATTTCACTTGAAGTAAACAAAGATAAATAACAGCTAACAACCTGTCAACAGGACACTGATGTCCCCACATTTAACTGCTGAGCCTGTATATGGACGTACAGCGTGTGAACAGGACAGAGGGACAGGGTGAATCCGTCACTGCGTGTCGGACTGACACGGGCTAACCAATATGTCCCCACCAAAATCGGGACAGGTTCATTACACATATTAAGAGAAAGGTGGCACTGTTATCACTTACACATTCATATTAAAGATTGAAACAAGTCCTCAGTTAAAGATAAATTTCATTTTAAGCCTTATCATAATGGTGTACTTCATTTACACGGAACCATACGGCGTGGACAGAAATAAATGAAACTTTGCACCCTTATTCCCCAGTGCTTACCATATTTACACTTTTCTTTGAATTACGTCAAGAATTGTCTTCGAGAATGTCCCGGGAGCTTATTGATGAATGGGTTAGGGTTAAACGGAGGGTAATCGTGTGATTTCCACGAATGGTTTTGTTTTTCAGAGAAAACAAAGGTGTTATTTCTCGAGAATTAATCTTAAGACATATTTTCTGTATCAGCACATGCAGTAAAACCTCCCCCGCGTTCGAACCTTATCGATCAGCCGATATAGCAATAATAGTATGGTGTATGTAAACGGCCAAAAGTATGGTGTATGAAAACGGACATTTTCAAAATGATAGTATCCTTAAACTGAGTGATACAATGATTTTTTCTTTTTTTGTTAATAGAAGTCAAAGATAGCTCTTGATACAATAATAATTTTCAGAAAGATAAAATAAAAAGAAAGACAGAAAACAAATATTTTGAAAAACAAAAAACATGGCACAAATCTCACAAAGGTTTGTCTTTTTCTTTGCAGTTCACAAAATAAAACAACGATTTAACACGTTTCAGGTAAACTTCCGGTAACTAAATCTTATGTTTGCATTTTCTGTTCTTTATAATCAAAATATATCGTATTTTTGTTGTTTTTTTTCTTCTTTCTTTTTTTTTTCAAATGAGAATTAACCGAACACTTATTTGGATGTTGAATAGTAAGAAATCGTCATTACTAAGTACTTTGTTATCTTACAATTATGTTTTGTTTTTATAGGCAAGAGCACCGCTTGCGGTCTTAACGCTCGTCTAAGGACAACGATTATCAATAACCAATGTTTTATCAATATTCAAGTTAAAAATTGACATGACTCAAAAAATATTGTTTTAAAGGAACGCCCAAGTTTTTCAACTATGCATTGTCATAATAAGCATTCCACGTTTCATGTTGATATTTTTAATAATTTTAAAATAATTCAACTAAATAAGTAAATTTGACAAACATTCTAAGTTATGCAGTGTTTAAATGGACTTGTTCATCTTTTTAACTTGACAACACCATTTATTATTTTAGGAAACATTTTAAACTATTTATAATCCCAATAGTGAACAGTGCAGTCCGTGATCAAAGTCCACGGGTGTACCGGCTGATCTTTGGTCTGCACTGCTCGAAAGAGGAAGAATCAATTGCAGCTGGTAAGCAAAGAGTTAAGAAAGCGTTTAGCGAGACATTCTCACAGTGTAGAGACGTACAATCAGGAAAGGGGATGAATTATAAATGACGTGTCAGAGTAATTTAGTATCACCATTAGAGAAATACTCTGTAAATTGACCAATATTCTCAATTCGGACACAGGGGACCCTCGGTTATATATAATTGGTATACAATATTCTAAATGCTACCGTAAGCTTATATTTGCCGTTATTGGTGTGCAGTATTACAATATTTAAAACCGGATTAATCGACTTTTGCATGATTATTTAAATTAATTTGCCAGATTGCTGGAACATTGATATTGGTGGTCAAAAGAAACGCAATATTATTTTCAAACTAATTATTTTTCCTTTGGAGCATTGTTAACTAGACATTTGTTTTTTTTCTTCATTTTAATGAAGAACACATATACATTGTTTGTTTACTACACTATATCAAAGTTAGTGTGATATGCTTACGTACGAGAAACTATATAAAGTAGTTCCGGAATGCATTACCTAAGTTCAAACTGTTTACGAGAAATGGTTGGAATCGAAATAATAAAGTTTTAGTAATCAGAATGCCGTGGCGTTTATAACTTTTGTAAATGTCTGGAATAAATGACAAGTTAGCTATATAAAGTTTATTGTTTTGTAAATTGAATTAAACTTATCGTAAAAGACTCCATGTCACATAGATACATAGAGGATATTTGTTTGTTTTGCATGTAAGATTGAAATATAATTTCACTGAGTGAACACCAGATGCAATATTGAAATATAATAGCTGGTGTTCACGAATGAAATATATTTCAATCTTATACCGTAAAACAAATAAATTTTCTTTTTATTTCATGCTTTTTAAGTAATTTTAAGTGTTGTTTACTGATTTTGCCGCGTAACGTCGCGCATTCTCCTTTGTGACGTCATCACATCATGACTACACATCATCAATTTTGAAATATAGTTCTGTTAAAATTCTCTAATTTTGTTACATTTTTAACATGATGTATGGTGACATCGACTTTCTTTTCATATAGAAGCAAAATTTACGTATGATGGCACTTATTTCTGCCTGTTATTACATTTAGTTTAATTTTCTTTTCATCCACATTCAGATATAGTCCGGCTACAGTGAAAATTATATTTTATAAATTTCACTAGTGGTTTATCAGATTATAATTATCTGATATATTACAATAAAACACTGAAAAGCATGAAATAAATATAGATAATCTTTCGTTCAAACGCGTGGTTGTTTATTAAAGAAGCACAAAGCTTAGCCAGTCTGTACTTCTGTGGAGTCTGGCCATATTCTTTACAGTTCATAGCTCAAAATTGGCACTTTAGAATTGAAATCACCTAAAGTTTAAATTGATTCTTCCAAATTTAAAGCATGACAAACCCATCACACTAATGCACAATATTATTTGTTAATATTTACACAACTGTTCGTTTTTTTTGTATGAGATACACACGTGCATATTGTAAACACTTGATATAAATTTGAATTACTGCGGAAAACGTCTCAAAGTATCAAAATTGTTAATACAGTAATTTCTTAATTAAGAACTTTTTATATACTGCAGTAGCGATTATTTAACAGAGTTAAGTCAATATTTATTTTAGTTTGCTTTCGTCAATAATGTTTGCAAAATGAAATATCCACTTAAAAGTTGGCAATAATGTTTAGACAAACATAAAACTAATTTTCCCATCTAAAAAAAACACACACACAACAAAACAACACATTTTTTTTTAAAATAAATAATTGAATTTGATTAATATAAAATGTGTTATCTTTGTTTTCTTTTAATTTCTATACGGTTAAGCGGATAAAATATAGAATATAATAAAATATAATGGTTTCCCCAAATTTGCATTCGAAAAGAAATGATAAATATTATATGTTTACCCTTAACGTTATTCCATTTAAGATACATGCAATTCATAGTGCAAACTGAATAAATACAAATATCATCATTATTGTCCATATTTTTCCTTAAATATTGCAAACTGAAAACCTTCTATTAATGTAGTATATGAAATCTATGTCAAAATTATGCTGATTATCTACATATATGACTATAAAATACTATCAATAATTCAACACAAAGTGGGGTATACTAGCTGGCAAAGTCAGTATACCTTTATAGTATTTTCATTGTAATATCTCAAACATTTGAAAATCAAATAATATCAAATGGTCAGGTCTTTAACAATATATTTATTTAAAGAATTACTCGGTTTCGAAATCCTGAATGATTATAAACCTACCATAAAATCATGAAATATCTGACGAATACGCATTCTTCTATCCATGTACTTATCCATTTTCAAACAAAATTCCTAGATTTTATGTTGTCATTAATTAAAAACTTATAAAATAACAAATAAATCCGCACACGGTATTCCACAATTTTATAGACATTGTTTTGAAGTGGTACTAAAATTGACGCCGAATCCTCGATAGAAAAACTCCAAACGTTGGAATATTGTTCATACAGAAAATACCAATACTGTCTTAAAGGTTTTTAGCCGTCCTGTTATATGACGAAAGGGAAAGACATTTTCCACAACAATGCTTTATTTAGCAGTGTATTTAAAAAGAAAACGTTAACCATTCGCTAACACAACCGCTGTGTCAGATAGTTAAAGTGTCCACATTTACATGGAAAATTTAAAAATAAAACTTTATTTGACGTAAGTTCATATTGACCGCGCAACCACATTCCAATATAAGTATCTCTTTTAAGAATTCTACGTAGTTTCTATATATAGAAAATGTTAATTAATACCTAGGACTTCAACTTGTTCAGTATTGATATGAAACTCTATAATACGTAAACAAAATAAACATACATCGCTTTTTTTACTGAAGTATATTTTAAATTAAATAGATTTCCAATATAGTTCTAAGTAAATTTTCTATTATGAACTTTATATAGCTTAGATCTAATTGATCACAGCTTTGTAATTTCAATATTGCAAGTGTCCCTTACGTGCGATTTTAATAGTATTTGTTGATACAAACGATAGAAAATCGAACATATAACGTCATGCAACCAAGCTGTTATATATCGCTTACTTAAACAAACCAATGTAACCCCACTACCGCCTTTTATATATCAGCGTGACGATTCAGTGACTTTTACATTGACTTGTATAAATACAGTGGTGCATTGCATGAACTTACGTAATAATTCTTTGACACGAAATCCTAACATGTTGTCTCGCAAACTGTTTAGGCGATATTTGTAAAATATCAGAAAATTGCGCGGTCACTAATTTTATGAACGAGTCAATAATTTACATAAAGCCGAGTCAATAATTACATAAAGAAAGTAACAATATCGTTTCGAAAAAGTCCCTTTCATTGAAAAATACTACAGTTACAAATATTATTCTATATTATATGACTATATATCGGGTCAATAAACCACAGGGGATTCTGTCATTTTTTTCCTTTCCCACTATATATATAATATAACAAGGGATACAACTCAAAATTGCTCAAGTCATGAAAAAGTAAATACAACGCAGTATACAACAGTTTTTTTTCTTATGATTGTTGGAAATTGATGAAAGAATCGATAATTTCAAAAAATGGCTCACGTTGTTACATGGACAAGATATTATTAAAAATAACCTTTCATGTTTTATTTTTACACACGTTCGTAAAATTTCGGTTTGTAAAATTACACGTGTTAAACGACATCTTATGCAAACGTATGCTCATATAAGAAAGTTTAATCATGTAATCGGTTAAATATCAATAATCCACCACCATCAATGATGCAATCATTAACTTCTGGTACAAATTATTGTAACAATTTATGTTTGTTTTGATAATTTCTATCCTCGGCTTCCATTTTGATGTTGCCCGTATGTTCCAATGCGTAAATCCTACTTCTGTTAGTAACTGTCAATTTCATTGGCTAATGAATAATAATAATCCGGATAATAACGGCATATAGCCGTATAGCGGTTTTTTCATCAGCCAATGAAAATACTCGGAACATAAACACACCTGCAAAATGGACGACAACTTGACAGCCAATGTAAATATTGAAATGTTAGCTATTTCCTGCAATGTTACAGGTTTTAATGAAGTGTTTGTAGTAGAACTTGGGTAATAACTCGTTCATATATTAACTTTTACAATAACTTTGATGGAATAAAGGATATTTTATACAGTTTACACGTGTGAATGCATTTTACGAACCCGTGCTGGTAGTGCGAGGCCACGACTTGTATCCCTTGTTTATATTATATATATAGATTTAATAAAATAATGACAGATTTCCCTGTGCAATAAACGTGTTTATATTTGTGTTTATAAATGCAGCATTACCAATACTCTTTATATTTCATAAAGTTCTCACAGATAATCTGATAGTAAGTTACCATCTAGCAAAGACAAAATGGACATTATCAATTTTGAAATTCTAAAATTTCCCTCCTTATAAACAAGAATAACCATCTTGTTTTTAAGTATATTTTACATAATGAGGAAGTTTGTGAAAAGTGAATAACACTGAATACATACCATTTAAAACTTAGAGCAGCCGTAATAAATTCCTTTGATTATATTGTTCTGGCTTAAAAATGGTATATGAGATTAATCTTTTATATAATCACCTACTGTTAATAATTGAAAATATTCAAATCGTTCAACTATAAGTATAATAGGCATGACACTTTATTGATGCGAGATGCACGTGAAAATCGAGATTATCAAGTACCACTTCTATTTAAATCGGTTATCTGTACATGTGTCTCGTTATTTTATTGCAGTTTCGTATAAGGTGAAAGGAAGTCATGGTTATTCACAATTATAAGAAATTCTTATCTTCCGAATACATCAATTCTTATACATATATAGTTTTGTTGTTGTTGTTGTTGTTGTTGTTATTTTTATTAAAACATGATAATCAAACACTTAAATTAGTTTTTACACGTACATACAGAACAGAGCTTCTTTACGTTTCGATAAATTTTCCTACCTTAATGCTATGAATATTAAAAATATAATCAAAAGTAAGATTGAAGATTCCATATTACGGATAATTTATATATTGGTACCTATGACAGTTTCGAAACTGCAATCGCTCTACTTAAGACTGTTTGCTATTTATTACTGACATGTGCAAAACGTCGAAAATGTGTTTGCCTGAATGATTCAAGAAAAATGAACAAGATGGCCTTTTTATTATAAACTTAAGAAATATTGATGAAATAAAATGCGTATTTTCATTTTTCGTATTTTCATTGTAAAAAAATATTTATCACCGCAGTGAAACATATTTTCCGTATTTTCACTGATGTTTTGCCATTCTACTTTCTTTTAAATTCAGCCAATACACAAAACATAAGGGGAAGTCTTTCAAAGTTTAATGTAAAAAGAGTGACAAATGTATAGAATAAACAGAAAATCCAAGTTCTTTATTGTAAATTTATCTTGTGGTATGAAAATTGTCATATTTTATCGGTGAGTACCGCAACTCATGAAATATTTATTTGATTAAAAGAAATCCTGTATTGATACAAAAAAGTTAAATATCCTTTATATATCGCTATGACGCAGCAGTTACGTAATGCCACTAGAATTAGCGAGTCTTAGTAAAAAGAAAACGAAACTCATAACCCTGTGCTGAAAATTTAACTTTTCATAATATTTCACACACCTAATTTAAATAAAGAAGAGATGTGTTGCTTAGATAATGTTAAAGTCCTGAAATAATTCTAAATAAATTTCAAGTATTCTAGTATGCAATTTAATGAATCAATTATTCATCACGCACGGTTTTCTTTTTAAACAAATTTCTTTCAGTTTCTGTAATTTTCAGCAGCACTTTATATTTTTATGACCGTGCAGATATGAAGAGTAAAGTTTTTCCAATAATATCTATTTTATGTGAAGATATAAATTGTTTTAAAAATGTTGACAAAACTACAATATAACACAAACGATAAGATCTAGGAATAAATACCGAATATAACTAGTTATTACACACCTACACAGTTTTACAGACTGTGAAGATACTAAAATTGCTTGTATACTATCTAAATATAGCACCAAGAGCTAAATCAGGGCATGGTTTGATACCGAAATACCATTGCGTAATTTAAATCCGTTTTTATATCCTATTTATAAAATGAAGTTTTCTAATCACTTTTTATTGGGTTTTACGTCGCACCAAAAAAGTAAAGATCATATGGTGACATTCAAGTTTTACTAGTGGAAGAAGACTTCAGGTGCCCCTCCGTGCATTATTTAAAACACAAACGGGCACCTGAGTAGAACCACCGACGTTTCGTTAGCTTGGTGGATAGCTTCCTCGCAAGAAAGAATCCAATGTCCCTTGCGGGATTCAAATTTGCAGCTTCTAAGATGGACAGTATGTCACTTTAACAATACAAATAAAAGTTAAAAGAGGAGTTCTTATTCCTGAACATTCAAAGACATGCTTCTTCTTGATTTAAAAAAAAGACATTATTCTGTAAAATATCAATGTGGTATAATCAACCGACGCAAAATGATTTTCCCAGGCCTCATTTTAGCTTGTTTTCTATTCATTACAATGCTTATGATCGTATTCGATAATAGACCCAATTAGATCTTTAATTGTTATCATTTCGACCGCTACTACTATAATATATAAGCTACAAATACTGACAAAAATGCTGAAGCGATCACGGTATGTGGATTATTTGGCGATTTTTTTCTGTAAGCATTTTATTATTAAAAGTTTTATATAGAACGATTGGTATGAACTTGATATAAAATACACTTATAAAATGACTATTTTGTATTATTAGTTTATTTTATTACCCCTCACATTTCGTGTAATCTTAATTTTCCATTGGCCAATGGGAGTTATTTTTTTACTGTTAATGCAAATGTACCATGTTACAGGGCAACAGTATTTTTAACAGTCTAAAATTTGGTCACATGGTCTATTTTCTAAATAAAATAAAATAAAATCAACATAGAAAATCATCACAGTTATTGTTCGGAGTAATAAAATAAATAACACAGGAGTTTGTGAGTAACAGTAAAAATATCATCCCTCGTAAAAAGTTTGTGTTACCCACAAACCCATGTGTTATTTATATACTGTTCAAGACCTGCCAAAACATACCAATGTACAGTAGCGTCCATAATATTTTAAATAGCGTTAAGATTTACAATTTATTTGTAAAACAACTCTGATAGGTCAATAAATTAAAGACGAGCAAAGTGAGAGTTTTGTAAAAGACCCTTCACTTTATTTATTCAGGCTTGATATTCCCATAGTTTATATTCTGTTCTGAGCCACCGTTTCCTTACTGGTTTCTTCTGTGTCGATTTATTGAATATCACATAATTAATTTGAAAATGAGTGGATTAATAAATTAACTTTAATTGGACTGTTAGGTTTATAATGAACTTAGTGGAACTCCAAACGAATTATTTAAGTATACATTACAACACCGTATAACCGGCTTCAGTGATGAAAAATTGCTGCAGCGATGACAAAAATCTAAAATTTACTGACTATTACAGTTAGGTTATAAGTTGGTTGGTATATTTAAACTTCGTGGACACAAGGCTATTCCTATAGTCTTACTGTTCATTTACATGGGATACT